AACGCATTAAAAATCATTCAATTAGAGTCACTCATTCCTGTATAAACCCTGTTTCAGGTTCTTAAGTATTTTAAACATTTACAGAAATATATTGAAAATCTCTCTGGACCCCGAACGGCTTATCAGAGGTCTTCCTCTGTAAGGCGATGACACAGGATCTAAGCGGTTAGCCGTGTTTCCTGACTTCAAAGATGTGAGTTTAAAAACTGGGTTGTGGCGTTTCTATTTGCGTTTGCTTCAGGGTGCTCTGGCTTCCTCCCACATCCACCAACAGCTATGATAGAATAACACGTTCAACTAAATTAGGATGCTTTATTGACACCCTGGTAAAAATGTGCAAACTTCTCATTGCAGTTGTACCTTTTTGCTAAAACTAATTTAAGAAAAGCTTTTTGGTTTTAAAACATGTTTTGGTGCAGATCAAAGGGATCCTTGACTAGTTGAACAGGTTGGCTTAAATATGTTGTGATTTTCCTGTTAAAGTAAAAATGACTGTTTGTTTGATACTTAAAAAAAACTAATAAGTATTTAGAAAAATTATACTTCTTTTGTTTAATTTTTCACCCCTGGAGTTTGCCCCTTTTTTCACTAGTTGTGACTAGTGACTCCGCCTCCTAACCAATCATTGACCGACAGTACCCTGACCCCGTTTTTTCTGTGCACAACAGTTTGAACCACAAGCAAGCAAGGATCTGCCTAAGAATGAAAAACTGTTAGGCCGTTATCAATTTATGTGATGAAACATTTTTTTTTTTCCTGATAAAACATTGTTAGACCGTAAATCAAAAGTTTATTATACTCTTACAACCCCATCATCCATTGTTTCATTCTTTCTCTTTTTTAATCGGTTTCTTTTTTTTTTCTGCACAGTTTTAGTGATGCGCTTTGATTTTTGCAAATTTTTGAAAAGACCCACCCTCTCTACTTAAAAACTAAAACAAAGAAAGGGGGGGGGGAAATGCACATGCACAACCCTGTACCTGCTCCCAAGAGGGAATGCTTATTAAAGACGTGTGAGAGCGTGCAGGAGCCCATATCTCCTCGTGCACTTTCTGTTTAAAAGTTGCTGTTTGCATCGTTCATACAAACGTACTTTTCCAAAAGAAGATTTGTAATTTTTCCACTCTCCACGGGTAAGTGAAAATGGGGACAAGAACATAAGACCTTATGTTGACATATCACCAGGATAATTTACAATTAGGAGGACTACTTATTTTGATGATCTACCCGGAAAAAGAGCATCGTCCACTGTAGCTTTAAAGATGATAATGGTGATTACTTTCAGCTGCTTCCTCATTCAGGGGCCACCATGACATTGCAGACTTGGTTTTTACACAAGATGCCCTCACTAAAGCCACTGGTGTTCAAACCTGGGTCCCCGGTGATACTACTACGCCAGAGAAGGACATATACCTCGAGAAGGATAGAAAGGGAGATAGAGGGGGAAAAATGTGTTGTGGTTGGGAACATTAACCAATGTGGTCAGACTCAGGAGTTAAAGGGGTGATAGAATGATTCTATACGGTATTTGGTCCTTAAGGTCTCTGAATAGGGTGTGTAACATTGGTTGGTCTGAAAATGGCATATTTCCTGTTCTATGAGCTCTAATGCAGCCTGGTTAAAGGCCCTAGAAAGAAACAACAGGTTTTCTTCCTTTTATGGTATGATCATGAATATTTAGATGAGCTGTGCTCTGATTGGTTGGTTTACAACGAGCGAAGCTGCTGAACAAAGACGCATCATAGCAACAAGCACTCATATCAACATCAGATTGTTGATATGATAGGTTGACCAGATGTCCTCTTTTTCCTGGACATGTCCTACTTTTCATACCTAAAAAAAAATTATTTCAACCCCAGAACTGATGGTTCGATTAGAAAATGCCCGGTCCGGTCCAGCCGCGGCACAGCGAAACATAAAGTATTCTCCTTTTCAGAAACCTAAAACTGGTCACCATAGATATGCTAGCGTTGCTATCAACAGCTTAGCAGCAGAATCCTGCTTCCAGCTTGTGGTTGCGACGGCCTTACGGTCGGAACAGCAAATCCTGCTTTGAACTGTCCAAGATTTTGAAAGCTGTCTTTGATAAAATGTTTCGAGCAAATGAACCGGGAAAAATAATCCATGCCTGTCAAGTCTTTGGATACTTGGGAAGACTGTGAAGATTTTCCCCCTTCTCCGTGAAGCCGGGAACACAGCTAGGGTCCTATAAAATCCATTTAATTTTTTCACAAATTCTGTTTTTTCCGTTAAAATTTTTGAAAATTCAATTTTTTCCGTTTTAATTTTTGAAAATTCCGGTTTTTCCGTAAAAATTTTTGATAATTCCGTTTTTTCCGTAAAAATGTTTGAAAACTCAGTTTTTTCCGTTTTAATTTTTTAAAATTCCGTTTTTTCTGTTTTAATTTTGAAAGTTCAGTTTTTTCTCTTTTTAATTTTTGCGAATTCAGTTTTTTACCCTTTACTATTATTTCAGTCGTAAAAAGAATGTGCTTTGAATGTAGGAATGACCTTAAATAGGAATGACCTTAAATTTATTGAGGTAAAAAAAACATTTACTCAGTACTTTTACTGCATGATGCAACATAACACTGCATTCTAAGTAATAACAAAATATTAATGCTTATGAACCAATGGTTATAAATGGTTATACATTTGTGTAAGTTTGGCAAAGTTTGAGTCCCTACTCGTACACTAATGACTTCAGACTCTACATCAGACTCTCCTCTCCTCCTGTAGATTCGACCGAGGCAATTAAACGCTAACCAACCAATGAGCAGAAGTTGACTCTCTAGGACACGCCCCCTCCTCACTTTGCATAATGAGGGAGAAATGTAAAAAGGGCAGACAGAAATAAATAGTGGCGAAGAAATAACTGGGGTGAAAAAATACAAAGAATAAAACAGACAAAAATATTATAACATGCACATAAATATATACTTGAAAATACAAGCAATTAAGAAATAAAGTTGAAGATTATAAAGGACAAAAAAATAAATAAGGTAAATATTACAAAGGCGCATAAATAAAGAAGCTAATTAAAAGAGTTATATACATTTATAATTTAATTTCTACTTACATTTATTTGTTGATTGTATTTTGGTGGCAATTAATTGTATGCTTGTTTATTTATTGAGCATTTATTTATTTGTGTATTTATTTTTAAATATGGCAGAGTTGGTCCTCCATAGAGATGTCCCCAGATTGGATTTCAGAAATCTGGTCACCTCACAGTAAAAGCCTGCTTGGCGCATGT